CATTCGTGCTGAGTCTAGGTTTCTTGGTGTTTATGGCGGTCGTGCGTGATTCCGGCATTTGATTGCTGACCATTGCGCTGAATTTACGCCACGAGCAGTGTTCAGGATTGAAGTTGTTATTCACGTGTTGTTCATTAAGGTATAGAGCCTGAGAAGATCAAATGACATGAGCTTGGTCGTTTGTAAGGAGTCGGTCTCCGCCTGCACGTCATCGCTGGCTTAGCTTCCAATTTCTTCGGTCTCGGTTTTTTTGCGAGGAAAGGGGTCTCGGTGTGGCGGTTAACACAGTTATTTTGCTAATTTGGTGGGTAGGCCTTTACACTAAGGGCGCAGTTGCCGGGTACTAAGTCCCCAACTGTATGTCACAAAGTCTATTCAACAATCCAAGTTGCCAAGACTGGCTAATCCCTTTGGGCACTGGCGGGGGGAGGGGTCGATGGGGTCCCTCCCCCCCTAACTAAACTCCCTTCTCCTTGGCATGCATGGCTAGAGCTGAAGCTTGGAAGGAACGAGTGAACTTAAACTGTGAGCAGCACTTCCTGCAATCTTTTTTCCTTTATTTGGGCATTACTGTTCACGTCTGCAGATTATTTCCTGGGTGTTTGTTTCCAAGACAAACATGCCTCCGGAGGTGAGGTCCTAAAGCCAGGCTATCACACGAACCCAAAATTACAAGCTCAACTTCTCCTCCTTTCATTTATTTCCAAGACGGGGCAAGTCAGCATTTTATTGGCGTATTGTGCTGAATTAGGGAAAACTTTACATTGGCTGCATGAGGGTGTTGTGGACTTATTCTGAGCGATGAAGTACGTTGGATATTTTCGTCATATTGTGGTAAACAGGAGGGCGCTGTAGCTGTACCTGTGTGGTTTATTACTCTATTTTCTATGCTCAATAGGATGGCTGTGTCCATTTTCCTTTATCTTTGTGCATCATTCTCGGTAACATTAACCAATAACACCATCGATATTAATAGCATTAGTAAAAAGCTGTCAATTCCAATATCTTTGTGATTGGGAATGCAAAGGGATGCTGAATATTTTACCATTATTTCTTGTATTAGAGAGTGCAATAAGTAACAATTTGTTTTATTGTTATTTGTTAGTTTATATATTTATTTTTATCACAAATGATTCAAAGGGGAATATTGGTAATTGATATCAAAGTGAGGTCCCAATTACACATCATAGTGTTAACCACAAACCTTCCTAATCTGGGGCTCCACCCTCAGACCCCCACTTTAGCGTTCTAAACTTACTCTCCACACAACATTCATTGTTACCTCTTTTTTCATATCTGACGTTATTCTTTATCTGCTCAGATAACATGTTTCAATACATTTGATTTTCACTCCTTTTTATGGCAGTGTTATTAGATTTTCTTGCAATCATTAAATGTTAAATTAAATGTAAATGTTTATAAGAGGATTGTGTGTTGCACAACTAGATGAAAAGTGTCTTATTTTTGTCATTTTGTCCATTACTGGCAAAATCTATCTTGTACCACACTGTGGTGTAAAACAAACTATGTTGTATATTTTATTAACTTCTTTTTAACCACCAAACACTACTATTTTCCATGACATTATTTGGGGCAAAGGCTTAATAACTGAATTTGTAGAACAGCAATCAAAGTTTGTGTGTATCCATGTATGTATGAATATTTAATGTCCAACAATCTCTCAGTGACAGCACTTGATATGGTAGATACTCAGTTGTTCTGAATATTTACTATTGATAAATATGCTAGTAACCACAGAGCAATCCTAAAGGGGGTTCATGGGGATCTCATTGTTAGGGGATAAATAGGTTTCATTGGATTAGAATCAGTTTAAGGACTTGTAAACTGAATATCTAAGTGCTACAGTTTTTCCTCCTAAATTGCTTAATTTTCTCTTTACCCCTCTTTATCCAAAGCCATTTACGTGGTTTTGCCTTTTTTCCTAATTTACAATATATTCTGGCAAGATATTGTATGTAGACTCTCCTGGTGGTTTGTCATTAAAAAAGAATTCCATTACCCTCTGGTATGCTAGAATACATATGGTGGAGATTTCTAGGCATTTGGCAGGAAATATACTATGAAAACTGTAATGATCATTTCAAACTATGCCACTATCAGGTTGGACTTGTAGGCTATCCATAAGATATGACAGCAAGTGTCAAGTTATAATTTACAGATTTTTAAAAAGAAAGGTACTGTGAGTGTCTTAAACCTATACTGTGATATATATATATATATATATATATATATATATATATATATATATATATATATATATATATATATATATATATATTATATAATTGATGTATTCATCAGTCCTTCCAAATTTCAAACCATCTCCATTGTCTTTCAGTAATTCCATCCCATCATGCCCCGCAACATTGAAATTAAAGCCTGCGTCCGCAATCTAGCTGAACTGAAAAAAATTGCCTCGGAACTCTCCAAGAGCAGTGGTACTGCACTTCATCAGGAAGACACTTTCTTCAACTCTCCA